GGACACATCGTATTTACATGTCTGTTAAACTACTAACTGTACAAAACTTTAAAAAAAAAACATATGGACTACTTGGGTAAAAGTTTGAGGTTGGGTATGATTTTTTTTTCTTATTCTCAACAAGGCTGCATTTATTTGATCGAAAATACCGTAAAAACAGTGAAATATTCGACATTAACTGTTTTCTGTTGATCTTCAGAAGCTTCACCAGCTGATTTGGTGCTCAAGAAACATTTATGATCATCAAAGTTGAAACACATTTTTTCAGGATTCAGCCTTTATTTGACATAGAAACCTTTTGTAGCATTATAAAAGGTCTTTACTGTCACTTTTAATCAATTTAATGTGTCCTTGCTGACTAAAATTATTAATTTCTATTACAAAAAAAAAAAATCGTACGGACCCCAAACCTTTGAACTGTAGTGTACATACACACAATATTTCACAATAAGATGCGTTTCAAACAGGGCCTTTATGTAAAGAAATTCTCTCTTGATCTTGACACACAAGTTGAACATAAACCCATTTTACCTCACACTTTTGTTTTACTAGATCAAAGGCCTGTTATGTTTTCTTTTCTAGAGGCACTATCTTCTCCAGCATTGGACCAGCCATCTATGCTGAACGAGAGTGGTCAAACCACCGCCACATCCGCTGGGAACGCAAACAAATTAATTACGATCCTGTGGGTTGGGAACACCCAATGAAACCACACAAACTGTGTCAAGCACACAGGAATCTCCAGACCCCAGCGCGGGCACACCGGACAACACTGGAAAACCACACAGCTATTTCACAATGACAAGCTCCGATTGCAGATCTGCTGAGAAATATTAAGCAATTCAGTACAAGGCTTGCCGCGCGATAGACGGTGCTGACGGTGATACCGGACTAATAAACGTTCTACGTTTCTTATTTATTTGGTTATATATTATACCAAATATAATACTTAGCCTATTTCCAGTTTTGTATAGCTATTTAAACTGTAAGTTATTTGTTATTTTATATTAGGCATAGCCTGTCCTATAGCATGGTGTATTTTTATTTGTTTTGTTAATAAAAGTTCTATGTTTTATATATAGGCTAAAGTGAGTTTGACGTTGTATTTTGTTGTTGCATTCAAGCAATTGACACGAACTGCCGCTAATTCGTAAGTGAAAGTAAAATACGCACAGCGCTTTTAAGCTATTTAAAAGCAAAGGAAAGCGAGGAAAAGAGGGAACGCCCCGCCCCCGCGGTGATACCGGTATTACCGGTGTTGTCACACGTCGATTAACTGGTGGGAAAATTTCCTCACCCTCACAACCCTATTCAGTACTACTGTAATAAATCACATCCAACACTTATGCCTAAAAAAACAAGGACTTTGGAAATCATCTAAAGCATTTAGACTTGGAAAGTTTGCTGAAACAAATGTAAACAAAAATCACAAGGGCCCATTTACACTTTTCACTTCATGCATTTCTCTGAAGATCAGATTTGTCAAAACTCTTCCATTTACGCATAGGAATTGTGTTTCTGCAAAACAAATATAAACCCCATCTTAAATTCCCACGCTATATGTAAGTTTAACAGTTGAGAGCCAGATGCATTTACAACTAATAAATGCAATAAATGG